ATAAAATCAGGGAGATATTGCTTCACATTAATCAACCTAAGGACTTCTTTACAAATTTTAAATTTTACACTGACATGTTTGTCATGATCATACAGGCAAGAGGTAAAATGTCCATTAGTTTCAGGGATTCAGTGACACTCAGGAGATTGACACTGCCTGCAGTGTGAGGACAATGCCATCTTTGCTACAAGCAGCAGCTGTGCCCCAAGCTTTGTCAATGTGTGAATGCTATATCTGGGAACAAGATGGGATTGACAATAAATGGACCCATTGGGATTAGGGCAAAATCCTTGTAACTATTTGCTGTCTTCAAGGAAAGCTTTTGTGAGATCAGCAATGAAAAATTGTCTCTCTGATAATGGTACAAAGCAGCCTGTTCATCAGCAGTAATGTGTGGTAAACAGAGGGTAGGTGTTGTCTGTAGGTTTTTAACTGACATTCTGTATCCTTGCCACCTTAAGCTCTGACTCTACCACTTAATGTCTTAGGATTGAAGATGATCAGTGAGAAAGCTGTACCTAAACATTTGTGATATCCCTTCTACTGAAAGTTCCAAAAGGCCTCTGATCCTCAATTTTAGCCTCCCTCACTGTATGTATTCCCAAAGACCAAAAGAGAATAACTTCTGCCAGGCCACTCTATCTCGGGCCCTGCCTTCCATTGTTCCTATTGAACCTTCCTCTATCACACGCTCAGGAAGCACATTCCAGACCTCAATCCATTCACTGCATAAAAATGTTTTCCCTCGTGTTGCTTTTCTTCTTCTGTCAATTAGGTTGTAAGATTAAGTTTATCATTATCTTGTTACAACTCAGTTGTCAAATTCTTAAGTAACTTAGTTAAAAGTGCATTCCACAAGTGTAACACAGACACAAAGCATGGTGCTGAAGCTCAGTTTGAATCAAAGCTGTACAACTTGAGAACTGATTAAAAAGAAGAGGTTAGACCACATAAAAAGATCCTTGTTTAAAAGTCATCAGAATATTGAAACCCCAGGGAGACTGTTAGCCTTTTAACTGGTAACAACTGGAAACATGTCCAGCTGGCTGGCTGTGAAATGGGACAAGGGCATATTAATAGAAATGCCAGGAATTGCACCATGTATACCTAAAACTAAAGGTATCAACCAGGTGATGCTTTAGCGCAGGACTACTTGCGTGCCAAAAAGCAAAAGCCGCATATGATCGACATAGCTAAGTAATTCCAAAACCAACACATCAAATCTAAGCTCTGCAGTCATGCTATATCTAGAAATGAATGTTAATGGACAATTAAATGGCTCACTGGAGGAGGTAGCTCCACAAATATTCTTGTCACTTTACCCAAAACACCTCTTCTTTGAGGACAACTCATTGTTAAGCTATTAATTTTTTTGCCCAACAATTGACTCCAGTTCATTTGACCCAGATGAGTTCTTTTGATAATTTTATGATACAACGATCACTGTCCCTTAAACACTCTCACATTGACACTTAATCCACTTGACCCATGTTATTCCCAAGAACCAGATCTAGCAGTGTCTACTTTCCCAGACAAGAAAAAATTTTCTAGGACATACTCTCCGAACTCCATCCCCTTGCTGTCCTTTACATTAATTGTTTGAATAGAGACTGAAGGTAATTTTTGCGCTCTCTGGAATTTCCTTCCAAATTTGTTCTTTTATATCCTCCCCACTAGTTGGTGACCATAGAGAGTGCTGAACAATGTGATTGCATCATTTTTTCCTTCCTTGGTTCTTGCCAAACAAATTCTGTCCTGGGATCCTCTGGGATATTCTTTCTTTGGCACAGCAATGTTCTCCTTAATCAATACTGCCATTCCTTCCAATTACTCCTGTAATAAACAACTTGTCTCCAGGAATATTTAACACCTAGTTTTGTCCTTTGAACCAGATTTCTGATATGGCCAAATCGTATTTGCAATTGGTGACTGGCAAGTGCAGATTTTCAATCTTACTTACCACACTCCTTGCATTCATATGCAGTCAGGGTAAACTTGATTTAGACTTTATTACCTTCTCCCTATTAACAATTCTCTAATACAACAACAGCATAAGGCCATAACAAATAAAAACAGGAATAGGCCATTTGGCCCCTCGAGCCTGCTCCTCCATTCGATAGGATCATTCATGGCTGATCTGATGTTCCTCATATCCACTTTCTTGCCCTTGCCCCATAACCCCTTGATTCCCCAAATGATCAAGAATCTATCTCTCTCAGCCTTAATCATATACAAGGACTCTGTCTCCACAGCTCTCTGCGACAAGGAATTCCAAAAGCACAACCATCTGAGAGAGCAAATTCCTCCTCATCTCAGTCTTAAACTGGTGCCCCTTTATTTTGAGGCTATGCCCTCGGATGCTAGACTCTCCCAAGAGGGGAAACGTCCTCTGAGCATCTATCCTGTCAAGCCCCTCAGTATTCCGATATGTTTCCGATAGTGGGAGGCAATGGCCTAGTGCTATTATCGCTGGACTACTAATCCAGGAACCCAGATAACGTTCTGACGACCCAAGTTTGAATCCCACCAGGGCACATGGTGGAATTTGAATTCAATAAAATATCTGGAATTAAGAATCGAATAATGACCATGAACCCATTATCGGTTGTCGGAAAAACTCATCTGGTTTACTAATGTCCTTTAGGGAAGGAAACTGCCATCCTTACCTGGTCTGGCCTACATGTGACTCCAGATCCCCAGCAATGTGGTTGAATCTTAACTGCCCTCTAGGCAATTAGGGACGGGCAATAAATGCTGCCCAGTCAGCAACGCCTTCATCCCATGAATGAATAAAGGAATAAAGGATGTTTCAATGAGATCAGTTCTCATTATTCTAAAGTGAATAGAGTCCCAACTTGTTTAACCTTTGCTCACGAGACATTCTCTCCATACCAGGGATCACCCGAGTGAACGTTCTATGAACTGCTTCTAATGAAATAATATCTTAGATCAAAAATGCTCACAGTACTCCAGATGTGGTCTCACCAGGACCTTGGTACAGTTGCAGTTAGACTTTGCGACTCTTATACTCCAACCCCTTTGAAATAAGGGCCAACATTCCATTCGCCTTGCTGATTCCCTGCTGCACTTGTGTGCTTGCTTTCTGTGTTTCGTGCACAAGTGCTGTCAAGTCCCTCTGTGTTGCAGCTTTCTCAGATTTTCTCCATTTAAATAATACTCTCCTTTAGTTCTCCCTCAAAAATGAGCTTCACATTTTCCGACATTATACTCCATTACTTACCATTTTTGCCCACTTACTTAACCTATCAAAATCTCTCTTTTTTGTGTCCCCTTTGCAATCTGCCTTTCCACCTATTGTTGAGTTGTCCGCAAATTTGACTAAAGCATATTCACTTCCTTCTCCAAGGCATTATTATCTATTGTAATCAGTTGAAGTCCCAGCACTGATCCCAGCGGAACCCCACTAGTCACTGGGTATCAACTTGAAAAAGAATACTTTATCTCCACTTGCTGTTTCCTGCCCATTGGCCAATTATCTATTCATGCCAACATAATATCTCCAACACCATGGGCTCTTATCTTATCACTTCATTTGGTGCTACCTGTCTCTCCCAACAATTTGTTCTTCTCTATACTATTGCACAGTTGCAACATCCCTGTGAAGTTCACTTAAACCTTCCTCAGTAGTACCAACAAAAGTAATCTGCTGATGAACAGGCTGCTTTGTACCATTATCAGAGAGACAATTTTTCATTGCTGATCTCACAAAAGCTTTCCTTGAAGACAGCAAATAGTTACAAGGATTTTGCCCTAATCCCAATGGGTCCATTTATTGTCAATCCCATCTTGTTCCCAGATATAGCATTCACACATTGACAAAGCTTGGGGCACAGCTGCTGCTTGTAGCAAAGATGGCATTGTCCTCACACTGCAGGCAGTGTCAATCTCCTGAGTGTCACTGAATCCCTGAAACTAATGGACATTTCACCTCTTGCCTGTATGATTAGATGCCTGTCTAATTAGATGTAATGTATCTGACCTGTACAGTTCCACCTACGGACTAGCTGATCCAGATGTTCCAGAACCAACTTTCTAGCCACCCATTCATCTGCTTTACCCTCCTGTTTCTACATGCACTGTGGGAATTATTACTTTTAGATCCAGCTCTCTAAAATCTGACAGTAGGACTGCATCCTTAATATGTCACTGGTACCAATGTTCACCAGAGCTGCCAGCTGTTCATGCTCCCTCACAGGATACTCTGAAGCAGCTCAGTGAAATCCTTGATCCTGCTGCCAAGGAGGTAATCTATTCTATCCTGGATTCATATCTACAGCCACAGGAACACTTATCACTATTGTTCTTCTTGTCTTCCTCTCAACCCTCACTTTTTTAAAATCAGTTTTTTCAATGAACCTGTTCAGCAATCTAATTTCACATCTCTGGAGCAGGGGGACTTGAACCCAGGCCTACTGGTCCAGGGATAGAGACACTACCATTGCACCACAGAGAGCCTTTGCTCCACAGCTGAGCCTATGGTGCCAGGACTTCTCTTTGATCACACTTCTCAGATGAAGGCAGCTGTAGATAAGATGATAATCAAGAGGTGAAAGGTTATTAGGGGTAGGTAGAAATGTGGAGAAATCAGATCAGCCATGTTCTTACGGAAAGGCAGAGCAAGTCGAAAGAGCTAAGTGTTCTCCTCTTGCTCTTGGTTCATATGTTTTTATGTTTGGTTGCCTGCACCATAACTTATTAGTATTGAGGGAACTCTTGGACAACCCGCATGTTTCTTTTTGAATATCTTATGATCACCCATTTCCTTTCTCCCCAAATACTCTTAAGCGGTGGTGAGGTGGGGGGGAAGGGGGTTGTCCACATCTATAAAGGGGCATCTACATAGCTCTCAACCACACTGATACACCATAGTGATTCCAGCTATTGCTCAAGCTCAAAAACTCAAATTTCAAGCTCCAACAACTGTTGACACTTGTTGTACAAAATGGTCATCTACGACACAGGAAGCATCCTGGACTTACCACATACCACAGGGTATGAGCTTGAGGTCAGAGCAACCCTCCTATTTCTCCATTTTGTATTTTTATTCATTCATTCATGGGGTGCAGGCATCGCTGACTGGACCAGCATTTATTGCCTGTCTCCAGTTGCACTTGAGTAGTAAATCCTACCAATAGAAATAAATGGTATTAATTCTCAAACCTTAATAAAATAAAAAGAAAGCTTATGTATAAGTACAAGACCAACCAGGCACTCATTTGGTATTTGTTAATTAATAGCTCTTTAATAAATATTCATGAGATGTGGCAATCAATGGCTTTACCAGCACTTTTTATCCGTCTCCAATTGCTCTTCAGAAGGTGGCAATAAGCTGTCTTCTTGACTTGCAGCAGTTCCTGGGGAGCTGGTGCTGTTAGGAAGGGATTTTCAACATTTTGACTCAGCAACAGAGAAGGAATGAAAATATAGTTCCAACTCAGAATGGTGTTTGACTTAGGGAAGGGCAATTGTGGTGCTAATGGTCTCCCTATTACATCTGTTGCCCTTGTCCTTCTGGGTGGTAGAGATAATTGGTTTAGAAGCTGCAATCAAAAGAAATCAGGGTAAGTTGTTGCAAACCATCTTGTACATATTGCTTAGCCGAACTCGTCCTCACACTCAACAACTTCTCTTTCAATTCCTCCCACTTCCTACAGACAAAGGGGGTGGCCATGGGTACCCGCATGGGCCCAAGCTAGGCCTGCCTCTTTGTAGGTTACGTGGAACAATCCCTCTTCCATACCTACACCGGCCCTAAACCCCACCTCTTCCTCCGTTACATTGATGACTGTATCGGCGCCGCCTCGTGCTCCCACGAGGAGCTCGAACAGTTCATCCACTTCACTAACACCTTCCACCCCAACCTTAAGTTTACCTGGACCATCTCTAACACCTCTCTCCCCTTCCTGGACCTCTCTGTCTCCATATCGGGCAACCACCTAGAAACCGATATTCATTTCAAGCCCACCGACTCCCACAGCTACCTAGAATACTCCTCCTCCCACCCACCTTCCTGCAAAAATGCTATCCCCTATTCCCAATTCCTTCGCCTCTGCCGCATCTGCTCCCAGGATGAGGCATTCCACTCCCGTACATCTCAGTCGTCCTCGTTTTTCAAGGACCGTAACTTCCCCTCCTCGGTGGTCGAGAACGCCCTCAACCGTGTCTCCCACATCCCCCGCACCTCATCCCTCACACCCCGTCCACGCAATAAGAACCAAAAAAGAATCCCCCTCGTCCTCACGTACCACCCCACCAACCTCCGGATCCAACGCATCATCCTCCGACACTTCCGCCATCTGCAATCCGACCCCACCACCAAAGACATCTTTCCCTCCCCACCCTTATCTGCTTTCCGGAGGGACCACTCTCTCCGTGACTCCCTTGTCCGCTCCACACTCCCCTCCAGCTCCACCACACCCGGCACTTTTCCCTGCAACCGCAGGAAGTGCTACACCTGCCCCCATACCTCCTCCCTCACCCCCATCCCAGGCCCCAAGAAGACTTTCCACATCAAGCAGATGTTCACCTGCACATCTGCCAATGTGGTATACTGCATCCGCTGTACCCGGTGTGGCTTCCTCTACATCGGGGAAACCAAGCGGAGACTCGGGGACCGCTTTGCAGAACACCTACGCTCGGTTCGCAACAAACAACTGCACCTCCCAGTCGCGAACCATTTCAACTCCCCCTCCCATTCCTCAGACGACATGTCCATCCTGGGCCTCCTGCAGTGCCACAACGATGCCACCCGAAGGTTGCAGGAACAGCAACTCATATTCCGCTTGGGAACCCTGCAGCCCAATGGTATCAATGTGGATTTCACAAGTTTCAAAATCTCCCCTCCCCCCACCGCATCCCAAAACCAGTCCAGCTCGTCCCTGCCTCCCTAACCTGTTCTTCCTCCCACCTATCCCCTCCTCCCACCTCAAGCCGCACCTCCATCTCCTACCGACCAACCTCATCCCGCCCCCTTGACCTGTCCGTCCTCCCTGGACTGACCTATCCCCTTCCTAACTCCCTACCTACACTCACCTTTCCTGGCCCCATCCCCGCCTCTTCGACCTGTTTGTTTCCTCTCCACCTATCCTTTCCTCTATCCCTCTTCTATCCGCCTCCCACTCTCTCCCTATTTATTTCGGAACCCCCTTCCCCTCCCCCTTTTCTGATGAAGGGTCTAGGCCCGAAACGTCAGCCTCTCTGCTCCTATGATGCTGCTTGGCCTGCTGTGTTCATCCAGCCCTGCACCTTGTTGTCTTGTACATATTGCTGTTACTGTGTGTCAGCGGTGAAGTGAGTGAATGTTGAAAAGTAGTCGATGGGGTGCCAATCAAGCAGGCTGCATTGACTGAAATGGTGTCAAAGTTCTTGAGTGTTTTTGGAGCTGCATCCATCCAAGCAAGTGGGAAGTGTTCCATCAATGCACTTTGGTGAGTCAGGAGGTGAGTTACTCACTGCAGGATTCTGAGCCTCTGACCTGCTTTTGTAGCCACAGTATTTATATGGCTGATCTAGTTCTGTTTCTGGTTAATAAACCAGGACCAGATGGACTATAACCTTAAGTTCTGAAAAAGATAGCTGAGATGATTGTGGATGCATTGGTGGTGACCTTTCAGGAATCACTGGAGGCAGGGAGGGTCCCGGAGGACTCGACAATTACGAATATAATACCCCTGTTTAAGAAGGAAGGGAGACAAAAGACAGGACAATAGTTCAGTTAGCCTGACTATGTCATTGGTAAGATTTTTACAGTCCATTATTAAGGATGAGATTGTGGAGAATTTGGAAGTGCATGGTAATATAGGTCTGAGTCAGCACAACTTTCCTCGGAAGGATGAGCTGGCATTGGAGGGGGTCCTGAGGGATTTTACAAGAATAATCCCCAGGATGAAGAGTTTGTCCTATGAGGAGTGGTTGAAGATTCTGGGTCTGTACTCTATGGAGTTTAAAAGGATAATGGTAGATCCGATTGAAAATTTCAGAATACTGAGAGGCTTGGATAGAGTGGATATGGAGAATATGTTTTCACTAGTAGGAGAGACTAGGATCCAAGGGCATAGCCTCAGGATGAAGGGATGACCCTTTGGAACTGAGAAAAGGAGGAATTACTTCAGCAGGAGAGTGGTGAATCTGTGGAACTCATGGTCACAGACAGCTGTGGAGGCCAAGTCATTGAGTGTATTTAAGACAGAGATAGAAAGGGTCTTGATTAGTAAGGGGTAAAGGTAGAAAGTAGGGGAATGGTGTTGTGAAATGTATCAGCCATGATGGAACCAGACTCAATTGGCTCCTATATCTTATGATCTAAAATCAATTTCATTGACTGTGAAGGCTAGATTTTATGGTCTCATGTTGACATGCTTAGAGATGCCGTCTGGCCACCAGGGATGGCTCTCCAGAACATGTCCGACAGAGGGGAACTTTGTAAAGGGCAGTTTGCATGAGGATCAGCTGCTCACTTCATTGAGGCTACATAAAAAACAAGCAGAATCTGCACAGGCATCATTGTATGATGGTGATGATTGTTCAGGATAGAGGCCGTCACTTACCAGATAAACACTTCCAACTGCACTTGCCATCCTAGGTATATTACCTTGAATCAGAGCAGTTCACAGCTTGGTGTCGAAAAGTTAACAAGACGATAAAATAAATCCACAACACAGCAAGCAGCATGGTAGTTTGGTGGCCAGCACTGCTGCCTCACAGTGCCATGGACCTGGGTTCAATTCCACCCCCAGATACCTGTCTATGTGGAATTTGCATTCTCACTGTGTCCATGTGGGTTTCCTCCCACAGTCCAAAGATGTGCAGGTTAGGTGGATTAGCCATGGGAAATTGTTCATAATGTCCAGGATGAGGTGGGTTAGCTGTGGGAAATGCAGGGACTGGGTGGGATGCTCTTTGCAGGGTTGGTGCCGACTTGATCAGACAAATTGCCTGCTCCCACACTGCAGTGATTCAGTATAAGAACTGTCATGCACTTCAATAGAGTGGGATTTTGGAATTCTTCATCTGTATCAGAACTAGCCATCAGTAGGTTAAAATACATCACTTTTCCTGCTCCTTTCAGTTCGGACAAGTCATATTGGAAATGAAATGTTACTTCTATTTCTTTTTGCACAGGTGCTGCTGAGTTTCTCCAGCGCTGTCTGTTTTTGCATAGGTAGGATTATTTGGCACAACTGGTTTTTAGAACAGGATTCCTTTTTTTCATTTATAATTTATATGCAATTGCACACTTAATTCAAAAAATCCTTGAATAAATATGAGGCGCTTGGAAGAGAAATCTGAAGGGTGAGTTTACAAATATACATTCTTAAAAACCAGAGGCATATGGTACCAATCAAGTTATTATAACGTTACTAGACCATAGGGCTACTCTCTCATTAGAGAGCGAGACAACTGTTAGACAGCGACACCCACATCCCATGAGTGAATTAAGAAAGCTGTATAGACTCTGTTTTGCGATATAGGTTCTGTGGAGTCAGTTAAAAGGAGACACAGAGTCAGGATTACCACGAAAAGGACAAAGACTTCTTTCACACTAATTGCCAGCAAAACTTGTTAAATTGGTTCTCAACAGTTAACTGTTGAGAGCTTCAGGCACATCATGTTTAGACACGTGATCACTCTGCATTTTAAAGGGCCTGCAGACAGAGAAGGAATTCAGATAGTAAAGCAGGACCAAAGAGGTTGTACAGAGGTCTCCAAGAGCATCTCTTTCAGTTATAAATACTCAGTTATAAGTGCTCAGTTATAAATACTGCAGACAGTGATTGTTCATATGGAAGGCAGCCAGAACCAATTCCATGGCTATCTCAACTCTTCCTGAGGGGGTGGAGGAAGATTGAAAAACAATTGTGATATGGCATTGTAAGCAAACAAACATTTCTAAAACCACAGGCATGAACCCAGGATTGGGTGTTGCCTCCTTGTTGCCAGGGGTAAGGATAAAGAAAAGAAATACGAGTGTGTCAAAATGGTGCAAGATTTGTGCATGGGAAATCGTGTCTTACTGATTTGACTGAGTTTTTTGCAGAGGTGACAAAGAAGATTGATGAAGGCAGAGCAGTAAATGTTGTCCATATGGATTTCAGCAAAACGTTCGACAAGGTTCCACATGGTAGACTGGTTAGTAAGGATAGATCACATGGGATCGGGGAAGCAAGCCAATTGAATACAAAATTGGCTTGAAGGCATAAAACAAGGTGTGGTGGTAGAGGGTTGCTTTTTGGTCTGGAGACCTACGACCAGTGGTGTGACACAAGGATCAGTGCTGGGTCCACTGCTTTTCATCGTTTATATAAATGATTTGGATGTGAATATAGGAGGTATAGTTATTAAGTTTGCAGATGACATCAAAATAGGTGGTGAGGTGGACAGTAAAGAAGATTATTTCAGAGCACAATAGGACCTTGATCAGATGGGCCAAAGGGCCAAGAAGTCGCAGATGGAGTTTAATTTAGACAAATGCGAGGTGTTGCATTTTGGTAAAGCAAACCAGGGCAGGACTTATACAGTTAATGGTAGAGCCCTGGGGAGTGTTGCCAAACAGAGACATTGGGTTGCAGGTGCACAGTTCCTTGAAAGTGGAGTCACAGGTAGACAGGGTCGTGAAGGTGGTGTTTGGCATGCTTACCTTCATTGGTCAGAACATTGATTATAGGACTTGGGATGTCATGTTACAACTGTACAAGACATTGGTGAAGCCATTTCTGGAATACTGCGTACAATTCTGGTTGTTCTTCTATAGGAAGGATGTTGTTAAACTTGAGAGGGTGCAGAATTGATTTACAAAGATGTTGCTGGGACTAGAGTGTTTGAGTTATAGGGAGAGGCTGAATACGTCGGGGCTTTTTTCCCTAGAGCATCAGAGACAGAGGGTGACCATAAAGGGGTTTACAAAAGGCATCTGGATGGGTATATGAATAGGAAGGGTTTAGAGGGATATGGGCCAAATGCTGGCAAATGGGGGACTAAGTCAGACTGGGATTTCTGGTCAGTGCAGGCAGGTTGGGCCGAAGAGTTTGTTTCCATGCTGGATGGCTTTATGATTATGTAACAGGAAGACGAGCTATGGCAGGTGATCCTCGAGCTGCAACTGGACAGACTAGAATGGAAGTAGGAGAGTACTGTCCATATCAGCCTATCAATGGCACTGAAGTTCTGAAGCAGAATTTTATTGTCCTTCATATCAAACGTAGCACACAGCTCAAGAAAATTGAGGAGGGATAATTTACCTTTGCCACAATCAAATAGGTTTTCATTTATGACTTTGTTAGGAAACATTTTGGTAATGTGATGGAGTAGAAAACCCAAGTGCAGACATTCAACATGAAATTTTGAGAAAGATGAACAAGGATTTGGGAGGCAAACATGCATCAAAGACTGGAGAGAAAGTGGTTGGAAAAGAGTAATAGTTTATAGGGATTGCAGGGCTATGGGTTGATTTTAGACCCTTGAAGGGAGGGGAACAGTACCTGAGGAAAGAAAGCTATTAAAAAAATCAGCTAACATAGGAGCCAAGGACAGAAGTTAGATGGTCAGCAGTTGAGGAGGAATAGGATCCAGAGAGCAAGAGATGGGTCTCATTGACAAGTTGAGCTCTGAGAAAGCCTGTTTTCTGTGTTCGCAACCCAAAGGAAACAGATATCCTAAAGGATGTCCAGGCTTCCAGATTTATTTATGTTGCTCTGGTAATTGAAAAGAAAAAAAACTTTCATTGAGAGAATACTTGTCACAGCCACAAGACATCTTAAAGAACTTTACAGCTCAAGAAGTGATTTTGAAATGTTGTAGAGATGGAGTGGCCAAAGTCAAAAAGTCTGAAAGTTTGTGGCCAAAGATATAACAGTTTAGATACTTAGCTATTGATGAGGAATCATGCAATTAAAGCACTATTTATGATTTGTGGTGAAATGCAATTGCTCCTAAGTCACTTCAAGTGGATTGAACTATTTCACCATCATCTTCTTAAGGGTAATTAGGAACAGGCAAAGAATATTGGCCCCTCCAGCAATGCCTGCATCCAACAAACAAATTTCTATTAAAGTAAAACTCTTTTAAAAAAAACTTAAATAACCTCAATGCATGCAAAAACAAACAGCAAAAAAGCAGTATTAGAATTTGTTATTAAAGTTCATGGAGCATAAATCAATATAATTTATATACATTGATATATACATTTATATTTTGATGTATTATGCAGCCTGAACATTCTTCCTTCGATGAGAAGACTATAACTGCACATAATTTTTAAAAGAGTTATGAAAATAATTATCTATTATAAAAATTGTGAAAGTATGGTTAAATTTTAAAGACAGACTCATGATCGTTACACTATGATGTGGAGATGCTGGGGTGGACAAGGTCAGAAGTCACACGATACTAGGTTATCGTCCGACAGGTTTAGTTGAAATCTCAAGCTTTTGGAATGCTGCTTCTTCAACAGGTGAAGTCACTTAATGCTAAGTTTTTAAAGAGTTTGTCTCCTGATTGACAAGATGCTAGGGTTGATAGTCCAGGAAATCTTCTGACTCAGAGGCCTGAGTTTTACCACTGAGCAAAAGTAGCTCATTCATCTTCTGCTCTGCTCTTTTACAATTTGTCAGTAATAGAATCAAGTCAAGCAAGTTGGCAGATGCTCAAATGTCTCAAATGTGCTGGAATTGATTTTGTTATCTTTTCACACCAGATCTGAATTTTCATGATGATTCATCTTTGCATTGCAAACCTTCTATAAACGTGCATTAAGGTGATGAAAAAAGTTAATATTGACATATAGTCTTCAAATGTACAACTATCATTTTTTTTCAGAAATAACCACCAACAAACAACTCATTATTTTTCCTCTGATCTAATGGTCTGCATTTCTCACTCAGGATGATAGTGGTTGAGCTGGTTCACATGTCGGATTTGAATTATGGCTCACAATTGGTTATGCTTGATAGGTAGAGCATACAGATTGAATAGGTTGAATATTTGAAAGTTTAAAATAAGCTGTGGTCATTTATGGCATATTCGCTAGTTCAGATTCTGTGAGTTCACTGTTTCAAGGTTCAGCTGATATCTTTGGTAATGTCATCAACCCAGTGATGCCAAAGAGTGTCTGTTGAGATTCACTGCTTAGCAGAGATTTAATTCTACTGTATTTCCATGTTAATTTATTTTGACAATCCTCTTCTGTCTTCCTGTACTGACTGTATCAAAACAAATTTGGATCTGACAAGTTGGTTGGAAGGATGAGTCAAGTCAAACATTGATGACGGGTCTCGTCAATTTCAGAGTATCTGTACTGTCTTGGACATATGGCGACTTAGTGTCTGACGAACTTTGACTCTCTATTCCTGAATCATAAACATCACCTAAAGAAGAAAAAAACAGATTTGTCACTTTAGAATTACTGTTCATCCTTATAAAATGATAATATGGACTGCTCATTTAGCCTAAAGACTACATGTTCAGAAAGAGAAAGGATAAATAGCAGAATCAGCTTGCTTGTGGCTGGACAGCTTTGAAGCAAAGGGAAGGTCCTCCTATACAATGCAGCTAATGATCATGTGACAAATCCATACCCACACTTGAAATGACAACACTTTAGTCATTCTCAGTGAAAAGCAAGTGCTAATTTTATTACCATGTTTCAGCTAAAATATTGCAAATGTTTTTAGTTCACACGTAATATTTATCAGAATATGTAAATATGGCTACAACAGGGGCAAAGTGCTGCATTTTCTAAATGCACTGTGCTGCTTAGTGATGGGTAAGACATTCTCCTTCATCCACCCCCAACTGAAGTACAATGAACAGAGGTGTACAATTTCCCCAAAGAGGAGACTGACGATGTGATGAAAACTGTGACTCGGTGTTCCACGGAGACGCCTCAGAATAGGATAGTGTAAGATGTCATTACATTGAGTTGCGGCGAAAGGATAATACAGACAACCAAAATAATCCACTGAACAGGCAAAAATCACTGATATTAAAATGTGAATGTATCTCAGTATGAAAAATAAGAATTACTTAAACAAGCAGAAGAAGGGATTGAAAAGGGTTCATTGTTCACTCATTCACTCAAAGAATTTTGTATCTGAACCCCTAGGTCCCTCTGTTCTACAATTTTACCCAAGGTCCTACCATTAACTGTATGTCCTACCCTTGTTTGTTGTACCATGCTGGCATTTTGCTTTTAAAATTGTTGTAATGGCCAAAATAGTGTTGCCATTGCCATAGCTGTATACAGCACCACATGCAATATTGCTGTATTGCTCAAATAAGATGTGAATGGAAAGGCACCATTCCAAATATTAGGCTCTTAGAACACAAGTTCTGTATAATTGCTTTCAATGCTACAAATATTGAGTTTACAAAACAATGGTTAAGTGGCTAGCTTAGTTCCATTTCTAATCACGGGAAGCTCCAGGATGTTGATGTTGGGGAAATTCAATGAAGATAGCATCTCAGTCTAGTTCGTGATGAATGTGTAGAGGAGATGATGAGCTTCTCTCTTGTGGGAGATGATCACTGCCTGGAATTGTGTGGCGTGAATATTACTGCCACGTATCAGTCACGGAGGAACTCTGAAAGACACTGATCTTTTGACAACCATCACTGGAGATTTGAGAACATCTTTTACACTGACATTAGAGCATCGTACTGAGGGAGTGGTACACTGTCAAGGTGTTATTAATCAGGTGAAATGTTAAAGCAATGTGCTATCTGCCCTGACCACATACCAGTTTAGGATTCAAAACCCATATAGCAAAATCCAACTAGCTGCTATTTAATTTCTTGTGCATTGACAAATTTAATAATGACTCAAAACAAGTGCAAAAGTTAACACCATTATAATTCTACCTGCAGAAAAACAAGCCCTATATAAACAACTAATTTGGTGTGGAACGGATTCTCCTGTCACTTTGGTGTCACTTCAACAAAAAAAAAGAGAAAAAAATCTATTTGCTTAGGTGTATAACAGGTGAACGAAGCCTCGTTAACAGTTTTCTTTGATTCTTAATTTTTACGACTGATTATCTGGTTTTCTGTCTCAATTCTCCTTGTGTGACTTTGCTCTGCCCATATTAGATTCCACAATTTTCTACTGATGACAATGACATCAGTTCAATGGCATTTCATTGACAGTGGAATATTTTCTTCTGAGATTATGAAAGGTGCTGTAGAAATGCAAGCCCTTTAGTTTTCTCTTCAGGGTACCCAATCTTGACATTAATCAACAAGTAAACATAAATTTAAAGACAGTTTGCAGAGTTTTACTCCCTTTCCCAGTTACTAGTTGCCACGATAACAGCACTCAGAAAGCCAACATGGATTTGTTAAAGGCACATCATGTTTAACTAACTTGATTGAGCCTTCAATATAATAGCAGAGAAGGTTATATGATTGATATGGAATACATAGACCTCCAAAAGGAATGTGATAAATTGCTACAGATCAGATCTACTAGCAAAGTTGGGCCCATGCAATAAAATGACTTCTGACAGCTTGGATATAAAGTTGGCTTAGTAACGGAAAATAAGACAATCGTGACGAGCAGCTTTTCTTTTGAATTGGAGGGAAGTATACAATGGTGTAATTACTCGGGCCACTGCTTTTCTTGATGTATATTAATGAACTGTTGATATATTTTCACAAATTGTTGAAGATGGCAAGGCAGGTTGTGCAAATGGTGAGAAAGACTTGTGGGGTTTGAGGCTTTGAAAACAGAGGTAGAGTATATAAACAAGAATGTTAGGATAAACCTTTATAAGACACCTGTTTGGCCTCAACTAGAGTATTGGGATCAATTCCAACAACTCCAACACCATAATTCAGGAAAGACATAAAAGCTTTAGGGGGCACTGAAAACTCACCAAGGCTCTTTAGAGAGCACCTTCCAAACTCTCAGCCATTACCATCTGGAAAGACAAGGGTAGGAAATACACATGAACCCCACCACATGCAAGGTACCTTCCAAGCCGTGTAGCACCCCAATGTGGAAATATATCACGCTTCCTTCATTGTCATTAGGTCACAGTTCTAGAACTCCATCCCTACAGCACTGTGGATGTAACTATACCAAATGAAGTGCTGTGGTTCAAGAAAGCAGCTCGCCACCACCTTTTTCCTGGAATCTTATGAATGGGCAATAAATTTTGGTCCTGCCAGCAAAGTCCACATTCCCCGAATGAATTAAGAAGTTCACAAGACTGGCTCTAGTGGTGAGAGATCCACTTATATCTTCTCCTTGGAGAAGAAAAACTTGAGAAATTTACTGCAGATGTTCAAAATCATGAGAGTCTACAAAGATAGAAGCTATACAAGGCTCTTGTGGCAAAGTGATAGTATCCCTACATTTGAAGCAGGAGGCCCATATTCAAGTCCCACTTGCTGCAAAGGGTTGTAACAACATTTCTGAAAATTGATTAGAAAATATCTAGATAAAAACTGTTACCATTAGTGGAAGGGTCCAGAATAAGTGGTCACTTACGTAAGGTGAATGATAAAACCAGTGGCAATATAAGAACATTCTTTCTTTGTAACCATGTGTTTAAGATCTAGAATGTACTCTGTGTTTGTGATTGAAACCTCTAGATGAGTGGGAAAAGACATACCCTGTATCTGCTGGATCCTGATTACCACCTTTGTGAGTGGCTGCATCAAGCAGACCCTTTGTATGCAGGTGTTTCTAAATATTCAGGCTCTACCTGTCCCCAGCCTCGTGAAGGATAGGTCTGGCCATAAGGCTGTGGAACACTCCTTGTACCTGGACTGTGTTGCACCACAAGTACCTCATGCAGATGTTTGTGCAGAAGAACATCCTTGATCACAAAAGCATCAGGCATAGGTCCACAAGTAAATCCTAAACTGTCAAAGTCATTTAGCAGAATGCCTGGTTGTCAAACACCAAGACATAGCTTAGCTAGTGGTGAGAGAAGACATTTCTGTCAAATCCTTTGTATGTGCCCAGTTTCTTTCCACCTCCTCATACTGTGAGAGATGGCTGTAGTGTGGATGAAACTGTTGGCACACCTCCCTGTGGAGAGACCCTTTGCAAAGATAGAGATACAGTGGTTTCTGTGGAGGTTCGTCCCGAATAAATCCGTGACGAACGATTGTGTTTTATGAGTTGCAATAGTTTTTGTTGAGATTTATCCCGATCAGCTGCACTATACAAGATTCTACAGGCTGTTCCCTGGAATGCACTTAGAGGTAAGCATCAAATAAGGCTAGAGGACCACCAACTCAGTGACAGATACTCTGTTGTCTGCCCAAAAGCTGTTGTTCCTCCAGAGCAAGGAGTCATTCTTGATAAGTGGTTCAGGCTAGCACATTCTAAACACCAGGACTATGTGCTGACAGATGCACCAAAGTGTGGGGCAGGTACCACAGAGGCACAATGGGCAAAGTTTACTGTCTGAAGCCTTTCAGCCATAGTACTCTGCGGATTGGAATCTGCAGAATGTCCTTGTGCTGTATGGCTGACAAGAAGTGTACGTAAATGCCAAGGTTATGGAAACTGTATTAAGATATCTCCGACTGGAATATATGCATGGAGAAAAATGTATTTATTGTAATTTCTGCAATTTTCAATTTGAAACGTATTGTCTTTAGGCTATGTTCCAGCTCTGGAATGCATATTGCAAATTTTAGGAACATCAAAATTACATTGAGGCACCCAAGAGAGGAACATGCTGTCAGCTGAATCTGCATCCTCTAATTTTCAGTTCAAAATATCTTGTTATAGAACAAAGAACATAGAACATTACAGCGCAGTACAGGCCCTTTGGCCCTCGATGTTGCGCCGACCTGTGAAACCAATCTGAAGCCCATCTAACCTAAACTATTCCATTATCATCCATATGTTTATCCAATGACCATTTAAATGTCCTTAAAGTTGGCGAGTCTACTACTTTTGCAGGCAGGGCATTCCACGCCCTTACTACTCTCTGAGTAAAGAACCTACCTCTGACATCTGTCCTATAGCTATCACCCCTCAATTTAAAGCTATGTCCCCTCGTGCTAGCCATCACCATCCGAGGAAAAAGGCTCCCACTGTCCACCCTATCTAATCCTCTGATCATCTTGTATGTCTCTATTAAGTCACCTCTTAACCTTCTTCTCTCTAACGAAAACAGCCTCAAGTCCCTCAGCCTTTCCTCATAAGACTTTCCCTCCATACCAGGCAACATCCTGGTAAATCTCCTCTGCACCCTTTCCAATGCTTCCACATCCTTCCTATAATGCGGTGACCAGAACTGTATGCAATACTCCAAGTGCGGCCGCATCAGAGTTTTGTACAGCTGCAACATGACCTCATGGCTCCGAAACTCAATCCCTCTACCAATAAAACCTAACACACCGTACGCCTTCTTAACAACGCTATCAACCTGGGTGGCAACTTTCAGTGACCTATGCACATGGACACCGAGATCCCTCTGCTCATCCACACTACCAAGAATCTTACCATTAGCCCAGTACTCTGTATTCCTGTTACTCCTTCCAAAGTGAATCACCTCACACTTTTCCACATTAAACTCCATTTGCCACCTCTCAGCCCAGCTCTGCAGCTTATCTATGTTCCTCTGTAATCTGCAACATCCTTCCGCACTATCCACAATTCCACCGACTTTGGTGTCATCCGCAAATTTACTAACCCATCCTTCTACGCCCTCATCCAGGTCATTTGTAAAAATGACAAACAGCAGTGGCCCCAAAACAAATCCTTGAGGTACACCACTAGTAACTGAACTCCAGGATGAACATTTCCCATCAACCACCACCCTCTGTCTTCTTACAGCTAGCCAATTTCTGATCCAAACCGCTAAATCACCCTCAATCCCATGCCTCCGTATTTTCTGCAATAGCCTACCATGGGGAACCTTATCAAACGCTTTACTGAAATCCATATACACCACATCAACCGCTTTATCCTCATCCACCTGTTTGGTCACCTTCTCAAAGAACTCAATAAGGTTTGTGAGGGACGACCTACCCTTCACAAAACCTTGTTGACTATCCCTAATCAAATTATTCCTTTCTAGATGATTATAAATCCTATCTCTTATAATCCTTTCCAACACTTTACCCACAACCGAAGTAAGGCTCACTGGTCCATAATTACCAGGGTTGTCTCTACTCCCTTTCTTGAACAAGGGGACAACATTTGTTCGTCTCCAGTCTTCTGGCACTATTCCTGAAGACAATGACGACATAAAGATCAAAGCCAAAGGCTCTGCAATCTCCTCTCTAGCTTCCCAGAGAATCCTAGGATAAATCCCATCCGGCCCAGGGGACTTATCTATTTTCACACCTTTTTCCTGTGTGAATACTGATGAAAAATATGTACTTTTACAAATAATATGAAAAAATTATATCTTCTGAGATAAAACTAAAGTCTGTACAGGGCTGGCTGACCTTAAATGAGATGAGAGTAAGATCTACTAATACGTCTGTTTGTCTCCCTTCTCATCAACATGCGTTAACTCAGCAGAAAAATGTACTAGAGAAGGAGAGGTTTGGGATGCCTCATTAGGTTACCAGGGTATTTCCATCAATAGAACAGTCTGTCAACAATCACAAACTTGCAGGTGAAAATGGACATTCAGGCAAGGCAAAGGCAAGTTGCAGATACTGGTGAAAATGTAACCCAAAAGAATCTTTGTGTCTGGGAGAGAAGAGCAGAAAAGTGATAAATGTAAGGTAAAATATAAGAACATGGGACTCAGGATTCTCAAGCCTGCTTTGCTGAACATTATGCAATCATTGGCGAACATTCCCACCTCTGACCTTATGATGGAGGGAAGGTCATTGGATGAAGCAGCTGAAGATGGTTGGGCCTAGGGCACTACCCTGAGGAACTCCTGCAGAGATGTCCTGGAGCTGAGATTGACCTCCCACAACCACGACCATTTTCCTATGTGTCAGGTATGACTCCAACCACCAGAGTGTTTGCCCCCTGATACCCATTGATTCCAGTTTTGCTAGGGGCTCCTTGATGCCACACTCAGTCGAATGCAGCCTTGATATCAAGGGCTGTCACCCTCACCTCACCTCTGGAATTTAGCTCTTTTGTCCATGTTTGAACCAAGGCTGTAATGAGGTCAGGAGCTGAGTGGCCCTGGCGGAACCCAAACTGAGCGTCACTGAGCAGGTGCTGCTTGATAGCACTGTTGGTGACACCTTCCATCACATTACTGATGATCGAGAGGAGACTGATGGGGCGGTAAGTGGCCGGGTTGGATTTGTCCTGATTTTTATGTACAGGACATACTTGGGCAATTTTCCACATTGTTGGGTAGATACCAGTGTTGTAACTATACTGGAACAGCTTGGCTAGGGGAGCGGCAAGCCTGGAGCACAAGTCTTCAGTACTATTGCCGGAATGTTGTCAGGGCCCGCAGCCTTTGCAGTATCCAGTGTCTCCAACCATTTCTTGATATCATGTGGAGTGAATTGAATTGGTTGAAGACTGATATCTGTAATGCTGGGGACCACTGGAGGAGGCTGAGATGGATCATCCACTCAGTACTTCGGGCTGAAGATTGCTGTGAATGCTTCAGCCTTATCTTTTGCACTGATGTGCTCGGCTCTTCCACCATTGAGGATGGGGATATTTACTGATACTGTCATGGACAGATGCAACTGCAGCTGGCAGATTGGTAAGGATGAAGTCAAGTATGTTTTTCCCTCTTGTTGGTTCCCTCACCACCTGCCGCAGACCCAGTCTAGCAGCTATGTCCTTGAGGACCCGACCAGCTCAATCAGTAGTACTGCTGCTGAGCCATTCTTGGTGGTGGACATTGAAATCCCCCACCCAGAGTACATTTTGTGCCCTTGCCATCCTTCATGCTTCCTCCAAGTGTTGTTCAACATTGAGGAATACTGATTCATCAGCTGAGGGAGGATGGTATGTGGTAATCAGCAGGAGGTTTCCTTGCCCATGTAAACTTGAAGCCATGAGACTTCATGGGTTCCAGAGTCAATGTTGAGGACTCCTAGAGCAACACCCTCCCGACTATATACCATTGTGCCTCCCCCTCTGTTGGGTCTGTCCTGCCAATGAGACAGGACATATCCAGGGATGGTGATGGTGATGTCTGGGACATTGTCTGTAAGGTATGATTCTGTGAGTATGATGTGTCAGGCTGTTGCTTGACTAGTATGTGAGACAGCTCTCTCAATTTTGGCACTAACCCCCAGATGTTAGCGAGGAGGACTTTGCAGGGTCGACAGGGCTGTTTCTGCCGTTGTCTTTTCCGGTGCCTAGGTCGATGCCAGATGATCCGTCCAGTTTCATTTCTTTGAGACTTTGTAGCGATTGGTACAACTGAGTGGTTTGCTAGGCCATTTCAGAGGGCAATTCAGAGTCAACCACATTGCTGTGGGTCTGGAGTCACATGTAGGCCAGACCAGGTGAGGGTGGCAGATTTCCTCTACTGAAGGACATTAGTGAACCAGATGGGTTTTTCCAACAATTGGCAATGATTTCATGGTGATTGGTAGATTCTTAATTCCAGACTTTATTTTTTGAATTCCAAATCCATCATCTGCCGTGGTGGGATTCCAACCCGGGTCCCCAGAACATGAGCTGGGTTTCTGGATTAATAGTCTAGCGATATCTGTGTGGGTTTGTATATGGGGTCCAATTCTATATGTTTGTTGATTGCAGTACGGGTGGAACCATGCCTCTAGGAATTCCTGTGTGTTTCTATGTTTGGCTTGGGCTACTATGGTTACCTTGGCCCTGGTAAACTGACGGCCTTCATTGTCTGAGTGTTCCGATATTAAGGAGAGTTCATCATGCCGTATTGCTGCTAGCTGACGTTTGTTTACATTTATCCATATTATACTTCATCTGCCAAATTTTTATCCATTCACGGCACGGTGGATCAGTGGTCAGCACTGCTGCCTCACAGCGCCAGGGACCCAGATTCAATTCCACCCTCGGGTGACTGTCTGTATGGAGCTTGCACATTCTCCCTGTATTTGTGCGGGTTTCCTCCGGGTACTGTGGTTTCCTCCCACAGTCCGAAGATGTGCAGGTTACGTGGATTGGTCATGCTAAATTGCCTGTAGCGTTCAGGGATGTATAGCTTAGGTGGGTTATAAGGGGATAGGTCTGGGTGGGATGCTCCAAGGGTTGGTGTGGACTTGCTGGGCGGAAGGGCCTGTTTCCACACTGTAGGGATTCTATGTCACTTATTTTTATATATTTGTAAATTATGTACCTCCACTTTAAACTAACTTTCCAATCTACCTTGTTGTCATTAGCAAATTTACCTTTCATACATGTGGTCTGTTTATCCACTAAAAGATTAGAGAATAATATACTTACCACGGCATTCTACGATGCATGTGGGTCAGTTTTGTTCAGGTGTTCTGGTTTCCTCACTGTTTGAAACTGCAGTTGGTTCCGCGCAATCGACTTTACTTTCTGGCGTGGGAATGCTGATATTCTTTACAAGGGGTACACAATTTTCATTTTGTTGCTAACATGACAAAAAAGATTGTTAAATATTTAATGGTTGGAATCACATTTTGAAAGTTGTCTTGAGTCTGACATGGTGAGTGAAACAATCAAAACAGCAGGATTTTTGTTCTCTGCTCTCTGTCGATTGTCATTGGTAGCTTAGAAGCCACCACAAATAGTCTTGGAAAGTGTGACATTTCCAGCTTAGGGAGCCACTCTTTGATTACTTCTTATTTCTTCTGCATGCTAGTCAGCTGGTAATCCCTCCGTGTGCATGTATCCTCATAAGCTGAAGTGTATATGCATGATCAATGTTCACCTTGACACTACTCTGTCAATTTTGAATTGATGACTTCAACGTTTAGCATCGCTTCTTTGGTAAAGTTGAGATCGCTTAATCTGGACAACAGAAACAATTTCAAGTTGCACTTCTACATGATAGATGGTCTTCTCTAATCACCTTTAATGGCACCTTCTCTGCATCTTAGGCATTTGACTGTACTTGGACTATGTATGCTCTACCTCCCTGAAATTCATTTCAATATCCTAACATGCTTACTAACAATAAAAATCTTAATGATTATTACATTGACATTTTATATTAATCCAACCATGGTTTAATGTCCATACTGACTGACTCTTCACTGCCTTGCATGTCACAGAGTACTGCATTAATTTCAGGTCTCTCTGAGAATCAAGCTCCTGGACAGCTTTGCAGGAAACACGTATGTTTCAAATTATATTGGAACATGTGGAATATTTTCAGCTTTCAGATTTGCAGATGATATGGCTTTATGCACATGACAATAGGTATTAAAAGTATATATTTACTGTTCCAGTTGCTTCTCTGTCAGAACCTGCGAATAAAAGAAAAATACGTAAAATAGAAGGAAATGAGGCTGTGAACTAGACTTATTTCACATTTGTTTGATTTGCCAGTTTTTACTAATCAGAAAATAGCACATATTCTTTATAGCAAATGAAACACTGGCCTCAATTTGAACCCACCCACTGTTGTTCAGTGTGAATGGTGTAAAAAGGGTGAGGTGAAAATTAGGCCAAAGCAACACAACAGCCAGAGGTAGTGTCGCACCTGCCTGACGCCATCCTCTCCTTCAAAGTTTGAAATCAACCAAGACTGTGACAAGAAGTAGATGGAGCTTACCAATACTTTATACTTAAAGGCCACAGCCTTAAAATGCCATCAGGCCATGATGTAATAAACAAGAAGTTAGGGAGATACTCATACTGTAGGGAAGTTTCAATAAATTGCTTCAGTTAAAACTCCTTGTGGGCCAAGAGGGCCAGGAATGTTCTTCCCCCAACACTCTAGGCTTTGCAAAGTACTTCTGGATCTACCCTGGTTTCCCTTGATCACTATAAAACTTGCAACTCTCATCTGCATTTCAGACCCTTGATATCTTTCAGACCTGTGAGCCCATTAATTGTCAGATACTGATTCTAAGACTTCCTGCTGCTAAATTTCCACACAGGTGTTTGATGGCTGTATGCATTGCTGGAAAGGAAAGAAGGTTATTTACATTTTAGCTAAATGAACCCTAATATGGAAAATCATACAGGAAATGAAAGATGTATAGTAAATCAAATGAATTACATACCTGAGGCTGTGGGGTACTTTTTCATTCTCCAACAAAAAATCCAAATCCCAATCCCAACTCCAACGAGCACAAGGATAATCACGCAACCCACCACTATAGGTGTAACGATTGGATTACTCTCATCTTTACACACGGCATCACTCTTAGAGGTTCCTTGATTGACTAATTTCTGGTTCCGTTCTTCACATCTGGGTAAGATGTAGAAAAAAAACACAAAACAAATGTTTACAATTGTCGCTGTACGTATGTTGTAATTAATCTGTTTTAATTATTCTCTGTCTGAAGTCTTATTCTAAGCCCAGTCAAGTTTGAATTAACTTGACTACTCACAATACAGGAAATGATGGAAGGCTGAATGATCTTATTTAACCAAAGTAACTATTGGCCATGGCACTGGGAAGAATTCCCAAGCTCCTCTTCAAAACTGAATCATATCTTTCATTCCCACTTAAAAACTCCAGATGAAGGCTCCGTTAACACCTCTCATTGAGTACTACACTGAGGCATCAATCTAGACTTTTGGACTCAGTTTATCAGAGTGGACCATGAACCCCTGAGTATCTGAGTCACAGCTGCACTCCCAGATTCTACACTCTGTAAATATGAAGTAACTCTGGTAACTGTACCTTAAGTTACAATTGGAATTAGTAATTATTGAACAAAATGTCAGAATTGTGCTCTGTCAAAGGATTGGACTTGCATGCTAACTTGCCTTTTTTACTTTGTGATCCATAAGATGTGAACATCTAACAGTTTCTGCTTCTAAAGTTGAGCAGACGTGACACTAGAAAGACCTGCGCGTAACAATACCAGGAGAGCACAAAGTAAGTTTGTTAGACATTTCAGTAACTGCTATTAACCATTAACAAAGAGAATGATATACGCGATATGAATGCAGTTAAGTGTCATTCACTGCTGTAAATACAGATACATCCTCTCAAAACCAGCAGCTTCAGGGCTGAGGCCGTATCAGGTTCTGTTTGATTTTGGTTTCGATGCTTTGGGCAGTGGGTTGTTCAGGACAATTGTGTCGGGGCTGTAAAAGGTCAACTTGAAGCTGTGGAACAGACTGGCATCCAAGCAGCAAAGCAGATAACAAGTGCAGTGTCATGCAGTACCTGGTCAAATTCCTCAGATGGCAATTTTACTAAAGTCAGTTCACAAAAAATATAAAAGAACACATTCTACAAACATCCACAACAAGCAGGAAAAACCTAACCCAGCAAACTACCCACCTCACCCCAGGTTTCAGTCAGTTGATTTGGACAGAATGTGACTGGAGTAGTTTCTGGCCAATTTTGCTCAGGGGCAAGGAAACCTCCAGCTGATTATCACCTACCATCCTCCTTCAACTGATGAACTAGTAATTATCCATGTTGAATATCATTTGGAGGAAGCACTGATGGTGACAAAGGGCACAGAATATACTCTGAGTGGGGGTCTTTAACAAAGAATGGCTCAGTTGCACCAAGACAGAGCGAGCTGGCTGAACCCTCATAGACATTTCTCACAGACTGAGCCTGTAACAGAGTTTGAATAAACCATAAAGAGGCAAATACTTATGTTACCATGCTGTCACCAACCTACCTCTCACAAATACTCCTATTCTTTACAGTATTGTTAAGAGTAACTGTCAGGCAGTCTGTGAGGAGACAAAGTCCCATCTTCACATTGAGGACAAACTGAGAACAGATTTAGCAACTC